GCGAGGGGTCAGCCCCCGCCGATCTCGGGGTGGGGGAGGGTCACCCCCAGCGCAGCTCGCGCTCCCCCTCCCCCAGCGGCAGCAGCCCCCCCACCACGCCGGTGCCGATGGTGCGCGCGCCGTCCCGCAGCGTGAAGCGCTGCCCGCGCTCCAGCACCATGGGCTGCCGCAGCAGCAGCGCCAGCGCCGCGTCCTCGCCCGGCAGCACCAGCTCCTGGGGGGCACAAAGTGTGGGGTGAGACCCATAGATCCTGTCAGAGTGACCCCATAAACCCCACAGAGCCCCCCAGCCCCACAGAGCCCCCAGCGCCGCGTCCTCGCCCGGCAGCACCAGCTCCTGGGGGGCAGAAATGTGTGGGGTGAGACCCATAGATCCCCTGGGACCAGCCCCATAGACCCCACACATCCCATAAACCCCACAGAGCCCCCAGCGCCGCGTCTTCGCCGGGCAGCACCAGATCCTGGGGGGAAATGTGTGGGGTGAGACCCATAGATCCCATAGATCCTGTTACATCAGCCCCATAAACCCCACAGAGCCCCCCAGCCCCACAGAGCCCCCAGCGCCGCGTCCTCGCCGGGCAGCACCAGATCCTGGGGGGCACAAAGTGTGGGGTGAGACCCATGGATCCCCTGGGACCAGCCCCACAGATCCCACAGAGCCCCTGGGATCAGCCCCACTGAGCCCCCAGCGCCGCGTCCTCGCCGGGCAGCACCAGATCCTGGGGGGCACAAAGTGTGGGGTGAGACCCACAGAGCCCCTGGGACCAGCCCCACAGATCCTGTCAGAGTGACCCCACAGACCCCACACATCCCACAAACCCCACAGAGCCCCCAGCGCCGCGTCCTCGCCCGGCAGCACCAGATCCTGGGGGGAAATGTGTGGGGTGAGACCCACAGAGCACAGAGACCCCTGGGACCAGCCCCATAGATCCTGTCAGAGTGACCCCACAGAGCCCACAGACCCCACAGAGCCCCCCAGCCCCACAGAGCCCCCAGCACCGCGTCCTCGCCGGGCAGCACCAGATCCTGGGGGGCAGAAAGGTGTGGGGTGAGACCCATAGATTCTGTCACTGTGACCCCTGGGACCAGCCCCACAGAGCCCATAAACCCCA